GTATATATGTGTGTACATATGTTTAAGTGCACTTATGAAATATATACGTGTATGTGTACATATGTTTAGGAGCATGCTTGGATATGCCATGTCACTCAGTTAGCCTGACGGGCAGCAACTTTCCGCTACGCCTCATAGAATTTTGTTTTGTATTGCTCTTATCCTACGGGATTTTCTATGCCATGAAATACAAAACAAGCAATAACTGTTGGTGTAGTATGTATATGTGTGTGTATTTAGGATCGAATGACAACTCAATAACAATGTCAAGTTAACAAATTGAACCCGGCAGATAATGCAGTGCGTCAGATAGAGAGCCGAAGGGATGTTGGGTGCGGTAGATGTTAGGTTAGATTCGGATAGGTAGGGGTACACAGCTTGGCTGTTTACTAGCGCTGCAATGAACCTGCTGATCTCTTGCAGCGACAGATGGCGGTTCTGGTTGTATCGAGTTGAAATAGTAGTCTCTCACGGTCTCAGAGAGAAATCTAAATTGTCGCGAATACCCAATTGCGAAGCTACTTTTGACCGCCCTTAAGCCAAGCTCTTTAATGCCAAAGGTGGATCGAAAGCGAGGAGATGTTCCAACGCCTCACTCGGGCTTGTCTGCCTACACACTCGGCTTGTTTCACCATAATAAGGCCAGGGTAGGGAATTAAATGATATTGATAACCTGAAATTCAGGATTGTATCGCTTAGAGTTGGCAACGCCAATGAAAAATCACCATTCAGCAGGAAAGTAGAGAGCTCGACGTATTTCTTGGCCTTCATCCAGGCTCTGGTCGATCCCAAATGAGCGCTACCCTCTGCTGATTTGATTTATATTGAATTTTGAAATATGAGATGGGCGGTGCCAGAGATTGAGCTCAAAATAGTCAAAGTTCCACCGTAGAATTGAAGCAAACAGCAATTGAAGACTAAAGCTGAAGGGTGAATAGAGCCAAAACTCACTGAAAACGCAAGCTCATTCCCCAAAATGTAGGTATTTTCAAAGCAATCTGATTATAAAAAGCTCGCTGGGCTTAATTCTAGCAATAACTTTGCCTTAATGACCGAATTTGCACTAGTTACTTTGTAGCTAGTAGTAGACTAGTTGAAAATAAATAAATTTCAGGAACAACTTCCTTTTTCTCTACTCTTTTCTATCAGAACCGAATTTAATTTTGACAACCAAATTCGCGCTGGTTGATCACCAACTACTTACATACTAGTTTAAAAGTAGTCAGTTGGGGAATGAGCAGAGACTTCGAATGCCAAAAAAGGAAGTACTGTATACTTTCTTTTTAAACTCGCCGAAACTCGCTACATCGGTTTCTAAGCATCAATTATTTACATTGAAACAAAAGCGAAATTCAATGAAAAAAAAATAATTTTTTTTGAATAAAATTTAATTTTTTTTTTTTTTTTTTTTTTTTTTTGAGAAAGCCAATTTCATTAACTAATATTCAAAAAGAATGCGCTTAAACTTAGAAATTTTGTTTAAGTTAAATTGAATTTAAAATAAAAGTCTTGCGTTGAAAAGGGCTCATCCATATAGCACTGAAAATGGTCTAGTTTGTAATTAGTTGAAAAAATTAACTTCATCTAAAAATAAACTACTTCAAAGTTAATTTCTTACACACTATTTCTTCGCTGTAAAAATCACACCACTTTGGTATAGTCGGTAACTAGTCTAATTGTCACGTACACTTAAAAATCGCTGCTCAAAAAGCACCAGTTAGCAACTAGCTGATAGAAATGAAACATTAGTGATCTAAAAATATATTTCCTTTATACTTTTACATCGCTGTCATACAAACACCCAAATTATATACAAAACGTACCAGTTGGTAACTAGTATAAATGTGAAGAATACTAAAAAATTAGTTGAATATTCACCAAATTTTACCACAGTGTTTGTCACATCCGACTGATAAAGCCATTTAGCATACAGCCAAGCATTTGTAACTAGCTCTTCATCAAACAACAACAACAAAAAGGGGTATGTTGCCAGAAAATTTGTATACACAAGAATGGTTAGTTGCGACAAACGAGCATTTTGAATTGGCAACAAAGTAATGAGTGTTTAAAATTGTACGGTAAAGTCAAATATTGGCAACATACACTCTTTTATATATACCTTTATACACATGGGTGTGTGAGTGTGTGTGTGTGTGTGTGTGCTAAGCATAAATGTTGTTACTCGTGTACATCCTTATGACCGCACTTAAGTGAATAGGGCTGGAGATGAACTATAAATATGTATGTACAATACAATGTGCTGGTAATAAGGCGGTAGATAACTAACGCATGCCCTGTAGGAAAAACATTTGTTGAAGTAGAAAATTGATTTAATTTTTTAAATAATTTTTTTTTTATTATTATTAATTTTTTTAACGGTTTGGTACTTTATTTTGAGGTAAACTCTAGAAAATTCACCAAAAAAACTTTGAAAACTTTTGATTTTATTTTTTTGTTAATCTAAGACCGTTCCTATACGCTTACTTTCTTTTTGCATATGTTTTTTCACCTACATATCTACTCACATCGTTTGTCTATTTTTGACTTTTGGCACAAATGCTGACTTTGCTGACATACCCTAAGCACTCTTGGCAATCATGGTAGCTACTTTTTTAGAATGCTCGACTTGTCAATTTCTTAGCATTGCTCCCTTTGATGCTCATTTTGTTTGGCGATTGAAAACTATAATTTGCCTATAGTCAACATGGAAAGAAATTGATATGAATGTGTATGAAGAGAGTGTAGAGTAGCCATGAAAAAAATTCAATAATGGAAATTTCACATGAAGAAAAAAGTTGTTGGGTGACCTAATAAATATTTTTGTGAAAACAAAATTCTTTTTTTAAGGCTACAAAAAGTTTGTTGAAAATTTGAATAGTCAATAATGTGTAAAATATTGATTTAGACGTCAGCTATACAAAAATAGTTATTAAAATTGTAATTCGCATTAAATTTAATGTCTTAAACTGTATTACTTAAAAGAGTTCCTACAGAAAAATCACCTGATTTTCTATTACTTGTCTATTTGTGTGCCGCCTAAGCATATGCTTTGATTTTCTCCTCTGTACATGCAATTTCCTTATTTGCTGGCCTACATTTAGGCGCATATTGCATATACGTTATGCTGTTTGCAATTTATAGCTTGACTATTACCAGCAGCTATTATCGTTTAGATTTGTATTGAATAGACATTGTAAAATATTACAGTTATTATATATATGTTCAACGTTTACCTTGAGCACAATAAATTGAGTTGTAAATAGCGCACAAATGTAGACTATATATTTTCAACAGGCAGCTGAGTAAATAATGTATATATTACTTATTGTATATTTGTTTTCATGGAAGAACAGAAGAGTTGCCAAAAATATTTATGTAAAAAATTGAAATTAAAATAAAGTTATTAAATTAGATATATAACAGATAGAAAATTAAAATAGTTTCTTTTCTAAGTTAATTCTTTTCTTATTAAATAATTTTTATTGTAATTGTATTTTCTTATGTCTTTTTCTCAACTAATCAGGCTTGGTTTAAGCGAAAAGTTTCATGTATTTCAATATTTAAATATTCAGGAATATTGACCCTAAAACCATGCCGCATAAATTGAATTAAAATTTTATTCAACAGATAAAGCACAGTTTTAGGCGCAGTACTTATGGATAATTACCGAATAATTAGTAACATTTATTTGTTTTTGAATCAAATGGTTAAAAATATAATTTATATGGTATAGTTAAATATGTTTACCCCATTTTTCTAGAAGCTTCATATTCATGAAAATTTTCATGTATTTCGATTAATAGTGTTTGAATAAAATATTGCCAAAAACATTGTCATGAACCAATTGTGTATTAAAATACACTCACAATTCACAGAAATATAGTTTTTATGTATGTTAAGGCGAAAACAAATAAATAATATATTTACAGAAATTATTACAGTTCCGGAAATAGTTTTATTCATATACGTAGGTGATTTTGTTAATTATAACCTTAAGCATTGAATTAAATTGGGTTTTTGTTGAAACACAGACACAGGTTTTATCTGTGTTTTCGCTGAAATATTAATTACAAATCACTTCACAAATTAAATTTCCAAATGTCAGTTCCACGTAGCTTGGCTATTCCACAAATAAACCAGATTGCCTACTTTTAGGGTTCTATGCAAAATTTTGTATTTTGATATTGAAATTAAAAGTAGCTGAATTTTAACGGTAATGTAGTTCGTATGTACTACAAAAGTAATATTACATAAAAAGTCTACTACAAATTTATACTAGTTACCAACTAGTCTATTTTGAACAGAAATTTAACTTGTACTAACTCGAAGTAAAACTACCAAAAAATAAGTTTCACACAGTTTCCTCTTAATTAAACTTCATTTTTGTAAAACTCATAACTAGTTGCCAACTAGTCCGTTTTGGATTGAATTTGGATGTGTATTACCGAGAAAAAATGAAGCATTTCCATATGTGATTTCATTCAGGTAAAAAAAATAATAATTAAAAATTAAAAATATACTACTCTTCAATTAGTCCGTAACTAGTAGCAAAATTACTAGTGTAAATTTTGTTTGAGAAGAATATGTTGGTTTAGTTAATATTTTTCAGATAGAAAAAATTTAAAAAAAAAATTTTTAATCACTCTCTGAATAGTTTGCTACTAGTTTTTGGGGTAACTAGTGAAAATGATGAAAAAAAAATGCATTTATATAATTCGCTTTTCCTTGGCAAAGAAAATAATTGAAATTATGTATGTTTGTAGAGGTAGACAACTACATTTAAACTTAGCCGACAATGCAAACAACTACATACATAAATACGCATCTACAATATGAGTATGGCGCGCAGAGAGATAACTTTGACTTCCCGTACACACACACACACAGTCATAGTAGCTTCGACATAGAAAATTTTATTTACGCCACTCAATCACTAACCTCTCTTAGATCCTATAAAATCTCCACTCAACTTGTGCATCTCTTATTTCTCTTCCAAACAGGCTTCCCACCAGCTGGCAACAATGAATTACCACCGCCAGTGCCATCACATCGTGCACCACTGCCGCCTACCACCACAGTCACCACATCGGCTGGCACAGCGGTTGCGCCCACATCATTGCCGGGTAATAATAATTTAAATATCAATCTGCCGGAGAGCAACAACGCCATCTTACGCCTCGAAGTTGAGCTGCGCGACAAGCATGCACCGAAATATAAGCGCGGCATGGGACGTGGTGTTGGCGGTGTCGGTGCGGGACGTGGACAATTTGGCGGCGCTGGCGGTGTGGGTGGTGGTGTAGTTGGGGGTGGTGGTGTTGGTGTGACAGGCGGCAGGCGTGCACCGCAAAAGTTGGCAGAGGATAAGAATGCAATGGTGCCGTTGGAGAAGGTGAGTAATATTAATTAAAAAAATAAAAATAAAAATAAAAATAAGTAAATATAAATATATATTGAAAAAATATATATACATAAATACTTTTAATTTGTTTTATTTTTTTTTTAATTTTTAAAACTATTTTCATAACATAAAAAAATACTTAAAATATTTAATATAATTTAAAAAAAAAATCTCATGCTTTATTTTAATTTTTATTATTTTTATTATTTATTAGTAAGATTTTGGCTTTTTTTTATTTTTATAACACACTTTAATTTTTAGTTTCTCATACTTATTCAAATTTCCTAATTTTTTATGCTTTAAAATTTTTTATTATTTTTTTTTTTATTTTTACTTTCTATTTTTGTCTCTAATTTAATTTTTATTTGCATAATAATTGTCCCGTTATTAATTTTTTTTTATGTTTTATTTTTGGTAAACATTTTTTTTTTGCTTCTATTTTTCATTCTAATTTAATTTTTATTCTTTTAAATTTATTTAATTATTTTTAATTTTTTTTCGATACCTCGAATTTTCTTATTGTTTATTTTTAATATTTATATTAATATTTGTTTTTTTTGTGAGTTTTCAATGCTAGCATATCTTATTATTATTTATTTTGTGTTCATTTACTTTTTTTTATTTTTGCTATTTTTTATTATTATTTTTTTTTTAATCTTTATTTTCGTGCTGATTTTGATGCCCTATTTTTTATAATTTATTTATATTTCGTTATCATCTTTATATTTATTTTAAGTTTTTTAATATTTTATTTCTTCTATATCAGTGTTGTTTTTGTGTTATATTTTTCTCTAATTTATTTATTATTATTATTATAATTATTTTTTTAGGTTATTATTTACACTTATAAGTATTTATTATTATTTAACTTATTACTAGTTTTTTGGCTTTCGTTTTACTTTTTTTCTTTTTGTACTTGTTTTAACCAATTTTAATTTATATTCGAAGTACTTCAGCCAAGTAAGTAATAAAACTTAATTTGAAATAAACCGAAATAGCAAACCATTAATTTTTAATCGCTTCACTGACTACGTGACAATTGCACGCGCAGATAGCTTTACAATCGACAGCACCATTGCATACTTGCAGGGGCAATTACGCGTAAAACGTTCGCTTCTCGTATCAATTGCGAAAATAACAATGAAATTTAAGAAAGAAAGAAATTGAAAAAATTAAAAAATACAAAGAAAATATGAATTGAAGTAAAAAAAATTATAGAAAAAAATATAAAGAAAATCTAAAACTAAATATTATAATAAATTCAAGAAAATATAAGTAAAATTCGAAAAATAATAAATACAAAAAAATCAGTTTTACTTGTATGCTAATGTTCCTGCGGTTTTATGTATGCAGGTATAAAATAAGAGCATTTGGGTAATCAAAAAGTATAGGCAAAAAATAGTAATTTGAAAATGCTTATTAAAGTTCCACCAAAGTAGTTAAAATTTATTATTTTCGGAATTTTCAATACTTACGGAGCTGTAGAGACATTTTTTGCGCCCACCCTAGTAGTTTGCTTTATATTTTACTCTCTTATTGTATTTTCCAACAATTATTAGTCCCTACTGCTGCTACCTTAGCATATATGTATGTATATAAATTTCTAATACGTTTCTTGGTATGCATTTGAAGTACTTCAATACGCAAGCGCCTAGCGATATGCAACGAAATGCAAGTAATTTCCCAATTGTCTGTGCGTCAAGTGATTGATTGCAGATTTGTTGCAGCAAATGTATGCGTAGAAAGCAATTCATGCGAAATTGCTACATAATGGTATGCAAGCTTGTTGTTGCTTTTGTTTTGGATTTCGAGATAATGCAAATGCAATTGAAATTATTGGGCAATTACTCATTGTCTGCTGGATATGCAAAGTACAATTGGTACCAAAGAGAAGAAAAAAAATTATTAAAAGCTAGAAAGAAAAAGCCAAAAGAGGAAAGAAACTATGTTCAGCAACCAGACCTTAAGACCTTTAAGCACAACCAAATGCCCCTTTTAAAGGCAAACAGTTGCAATTTTCTTAAAAAAATTTCTCATTTATACTCTCCTCTACTCTTCAGGTACTCGAGGAGCTACTCACTAAACTGGAAATTGAGCATGTCACTTGGACCACCAGTCGCAAGGGCTACTTTCATCATGTTGTCTTCCCACTGCCATCCGGTGAGCCATGCGAAACTACGCTGCACTGTCTAACTCAACTGGGTATTGGTACGAAATTAAATTCCAGCGTAAGGTGAGTAATGAAAGCATGTGCAGGCAACGAAAGCAATGGCAAGACTTCTTTAAAAACAAAACAAAAAAAAACTTTACGAAAAAAGCGTACCAAAAAAACAGAAGATACTGCAAGGAAGTAGGAAATCTGAGTTTTAGTGATAAAGTTTCAAGGAGATAGTCCTTTAGATAGCAGTGTGTTGGCCGAATAAGAGAAGACAAGCACACAAAAAGAAAAAGATACTGACTTTAAAGGCATTTATACCAAATGGAAAAAAACTCATTATTTCAGCAATCTCAGCGCGCGATGCCGCCGCCACTCAAATTGCATTTCAACGACAACAACAACAAAATACTTGAACTAGAGCTTTTTAAACAGACTCTAAGTTACGGCCAGTGGCATGCAACTGATAGAAAACAAGAGAAGCTTAGTTCAAGTACCAGGCGTAGCATTTGCTTTGCTTAAGCACCCGCTTAGTAGCTGTTAAGTGCAGTTATTACTGCTTTTTTGTCACGGTTTAGTTAGCAGCTGTCACTGCAATATCTTGGACAACTGTCTACCTATCAGGTCTTTAACACGAGTGCGGTTCTGGTAGGTTAGCTGCACTTTATCAGTGATGAAGATGGAATCGTTTTTACGTAAGAGGTTCGCGTTCTTTCAGAGCCGAGAGGGAAGTCACTTTCGACCATGAAATGAGACAATCGATTAAGGCTAGAGAGAGCACATAACCATATATTGGCAAGCAAGTGCGGAAGGCAGTTAAAAAAGCTGAGAAACCAAGTACAAAATATAAAGAATAATAAAAATCCGTTGAATTATTTTGCTTAAAAAATTTAAAGTCTCTAAAATTGCTTTTTGCTTAAAAAAGGTGCTTTTAAATCTTGCATTTTAATACCAAAAGAGCAAAGTCAACTTAAAAATGTGAAAATTCAAGTAGCATTACTATGCTCTTTCGGCACGTACAGAGTATTTCCACGCTCTCTCCATACATTTTATGCAAGCTCACTTTTGTTATTTACTTACAACTGGTACTTTCATCACTTGTGACTTTTTTGTACTTTACATTTTTAATTTGATTATTTTTTCAACGCTTTTCACAATTTAAAACTTTTCCTCGTTTCCTTTTTTCCTTTCTTCTATCAGCATAATACCGTGCAGTGTCACTTACGATGCTCTCACCGATCCAACTGTCAACAAGGATGACTACAGGTAAGTCGGTTGTCGCATATTAAAGTGTACACTCATACAGGCATACACACATACACAAGTAAATGAATAGCTACCTGATGGTATGTCCTACACGACATAACAAAACAGTCTTTGTTTGCAAATATCATCTTTCTACACACATATACACATACATCTATATATATATACTTAAACACATATATGCTTTTATGCGGCAGCATAGCGCGTACAACGGTTGTCCATCACTTAGCAGTTTCATTGCAAACATATACAACTGTTTGGCTACATATATATTAAAACACTAACGAACAAAAATGAAAACACATTAAAAAAAAACTAAATAAAGTAAAATAATAAAACCAAAGTAAAAAATGAAATAAAAGCAAATCAAATAAAATAAAAAATATTAAACTAAATTAAATAAAATTAATTAAAAGAAAATTAAATTAAATATATTAACCTAAATTAAAATAATTTAATATAAATTAATATGAAATAAAATAAAATAAAATAAAATAAAATAAAATAAAATAAAATAAAATAAAATAAAATAAAATAAAATAAAATAAAATAAAATAAAATAAAATGAAATTAATTAAAATAATATAATTTAAATTAACACGAAATAAAATAAATGAAAATAAAATAAGGGGAAGCAAAATAAAATGGAATAATAAAAATTGAGGAAAAGAAAATAGCATAAAATTAAATTTAATTGAATTAAACCTAAGAATATATAAATTTCATAATGCTCACTCATGCACGCTAATGTACACCTGCGTCTTTGCTCAGTTCAGCAGAAATGTTTTCAGCCTCACTGCTACAGCTACGTATGTACTCGTGTATCGCGCTTGCCTGTCAAACTTCAAATACCCAGCACGCAGCCCACCATCAGCACTACCGATTGCTGTCCCCAAAAAAATATCCACTGGTCAGTTACGACTACCCTAAAAGCTATGCACTTCTTTGTTCACAGAATAGTGTACTTCTCGTCGGTCGATACACTTCAAGTGTCACTGCCCATAGATCTCCCCTCGCACGCTCACCTACCAAAAACCCCACCGAATTACTGGAATATAGTGCAGAGCGTGTGTGCTTCTCATATGTTTCGACTATCTTTTCTTTTGTAGTGCCCTGCGCACTTTCAGAGTTGTATTTTTCTATTACCTTGACAGTCAGCCCTTTCCTCACCCCAGCGGCGTTTACACACAAATGACAGAATCATTTAGTTTAATTTGCTTTTGTGCATGCCTCGGCGCTTTTGATGCTTACTTGCTTGCTCTGCTCTCTGCTCTTTAACTGACGACAACTACCTGTGTGCTGGTAACTACTATTTTTATAGACTTGCAGCTGTCGAGTGTGCAGTGGCAGCGTGCATGGGTAGACATACAAATCTACATATACATAAGTAGTATTGTGTATGTGTGCAACAATTCTTATTTCCCCTTATTTATTTTGTGTATGCTTCCTCTTTTTATTCCATTTATTGCCGTATATTTTTATAGCTCGTTCATTTGTTTGTTTGGTTTTCTATTTGCGATTCCCCATTGGCCATACCGCAATGATTGGAAAATCATTGATTCCTGATTGTTCTGTAATAATGTTGTCAATTGAAATCTACTCGGAGCAAATGTTTACATTAAATATTTAAATAATCACAATGGGAGGAGGAAGGAATATAATGGAGAAAATGGAGAGAGAAATATATATAATCGCTGTATGGGTAGAGTGAAACATATGCCGTGTTTTTGAAAGGCTTTGGTCACGGCAGAGAATTGATAATCAACTAATTTTTATACCATAGATCTTGAAAAAATATTGTCATTAAGGATTTATTTATTTAATTAAAATAGATTTTAGGAAAAATTTCAAAAGAAAAGTAAACCTTCTTACACGGTAAAGAAAATTTTCATTACTTTGGCTCTAACGATTTGAGGACTATTAAAAGTTAAAGTCACCAATAGTAACCGAGTGAAAAAAATATACAGAAGACTGAAATTAAATATCAATAATTTGCCATAACTTTCAAGCGGAACTCAAAAATTGCTTCCTTGGTTGGTGTAGATAACTTTGTTTTCCAAATTTTTTTGAGTTCTTTAAATTATTTCTTCCACTAAACTGACCCCTCCACGCTTCTGCAGCTAGTATCTTAATGCAAATAATCCTTTTCAAATGATTTCATTTTCTCCTTATTTCGTTGCTTGGCAAGAGATCGATTAGCACAACTAATTACTACTGCAAGTAGACACCTGCTAATACTTATTACGTATGAATGTGTTAGTATGGGAGATGATTGTATGCATATTCATTAGCCTAATTAAAAACTAATGTACCATTTGCTTATAATGAAAGCAACCAAGTATTTTACAGCGGAAAATTATCTCCTTACCAAGTAGTTCAATTTGCTTTATACAGAGAAACTCAAATAAAATGAAATAAAATAACAAATAAAAAAAATTGTATTTGAACTAAATAAAACAAAATAAAATAAAATAAAACAAATTTAAAATCAATAAAATAATAAAATTGACTAAAGTAAAATAAAATAAAATAAAATAAAATAAAATAAAATAAAATAAAATAAAATAAAATAAAATAAAATAAAATAATATTATAAAAAATAGAATAAAAATAAACTAAATTAAGACACAATAAATTGAAAATTAAAATAATAAATTAAATTAATCAAAATAAATAAAGGAAAGTAAAGTAAAATAAAAGAAAGTTAAATACAATAAGGTCAGCAAAATAAAATGATACAAGATAGATAGACAAATTAGAATAAAATCTATTAAAGGAAAAAGAGTAAAATCAAATAAAATTGAAAAAATAAAACGAAATAAAATAACTAATAAAATTATATAAGATTGAAAAAAAAAGTTAAATAAAACATAATAAATAAATTAAATTAAAACACAAAATAAAATAAATTGAGAAAGAAAGCAAAGTAAAATAAAGCAAAGTTAAAAAAAAATATAAAATCAATATATAGAACCAAAATAAAATAAAGTAAATTAATTTAAAAAAATTTTAACATAAATTAAAATAACATTAAATCGTATAAAACAAATAAGATTAAATGAAATAAAATTAACTTATATTTTTTGAAAAAAAAAATTATTTAAAACAAATTGAAATCAAATCAAAATCAGTTTAATTAAATTAAAAAATTAGAATTAAAATATTAATTTAATTATTAGTAAAAAAAAGGTAAATTGAACAAATTAAAAAAAAAAAGCCAAATAAAATAGAAAAAAAAATTAAGCATATTCCGTGCCTGGTTTGGCTTGCGAGAGAGTAATCCTGTGGTCAGTATGTTTTGTAGAAAAATTCCCAAAAAAGGAGGATTAAAGATACCAATGTAAAAAATCTATTAAATCAATGAAAAGAAAGCTACTTTGTGATGGAAATATTATATATGCCTTGGTAGTATATTAGTATTAAACCACTTTAAAATGGCTAATAAATTTGGTAATTGAATCTTTATGCAAAAGAGATTTGCACCTCAGACGCTATAAACATCAGTTTTTAATGTATATGAGATGATGTTTGGCTGCTGAGTTTAGTGAATTTTTACTTCATTTAATGATCGAATCTGGAATTATTGAAAACTTTTGTTATATCCCACACATTGCAATACTTTTTTTGTAGTAAAAAATTTCAAATTCAATGAAACGATAACAGCTTACCAGTTCTGTAACTAGTAGCAATTTGCTGCTTCTTGAACTGGTATGTAAATACCAGTGGCATACTAGTACTTTATCTGCCCAAATGGGACATGGCATGTACTTGCACACCTCTTTTTCCCACCTTTAGTAAGGCAACCATCCACAAAGTACAAAGTGCAACATACCACCGACCGTTCGGGCTGCCAACCACACACAAACGAGGTTAAAGTGTACAGCTGCGGTGGTGTTAAGCGCAAAATCCGCACTGATTATTTTACAATGGTTGAAAAGCTTTATTGGTTTTTTATAGCTGCACTGACTTTGGATCGTAAATTTTGTACAAGCGCAAGTAGCTGCAATTGCCGCAGTGCCATGCACGCCCATTTTGTCTACTTATGTACACGTAGATATGTAGGAACGTATGTGTCTATCTGTCCGCTATTACAACCACTGAGTTGGCATTGTTTTTGCGCTGAACTTTGTGTTATAGTCGTTTTTTATGACGCCACTTGTGCAGGTAGAGGCAAGAGCAAAAGTGTTTCTTACCTGCAAAAGTTAGCGCAGCTAATTTATGTATGTACCCTTAAGCATATGCATTTCAACATATACACTTTTGGTACCTTTCTTTGGGAATGTGGCTTTGTTGCAAGTAAAAAGTCTGCTGTGCAGCCACCTGATCGTGCGCAGCGTGTACACGTAGCATCAGTTTAAAGCAATTCCCGCGTTTTCTTCAGCTTTCACCAACCGTAAAGAGAATCAGCAGTTTAACTTCTGCTATCTGGTAATCAAATGTTAACAAATTAATAGCCTACAGCGGTTTTGCAGCAGATAATTGCAGATGGAGAAAAAATTTTGCTAAAATAAAAAAGTAAGATTTCAAAATGCTTAAGGAAAAGAAAATTTTTAAAATTTAAATTCGAAAAAAAATTAAAGCTAAGTTCTTCGACGGGCGGTATATTCCTCAACACTTCAAAAACTTTCCGAATAGTCTCATTTTTGGAATATTTCTGAGTTAAATGTAAGGAAAATTTTACCTTTAAACTCATACAACAGAAGAAAATTATCTGTTTAATGTCAAACAAGCAAAACATTTCAGAAATTTGAAGTATTGAACTTAAAAGCTTTCGAGAAAGAGTTAAGAAGCCTTAATCAAAAAGAAATTTTTGGAAGAGAGTTGCCAGCTATTTCAAATAATTTAATTTAAAAATATAAAAATAAATAAAGTTTTACAGCATGCAGCTTTAAACTGCAGAGTGCGCCTGCAAAAATTGTACAGAGAAAGGTTTTCATGCAGGGTTGCCACCTTTTCCTAATTTAATTTAAAAATATAAAAATAAATAAAGTATTAAAGTGTGCAGCTTCAAACTGAGGAGGGACCATAAAAAACTTAGAGAAACTGATTTTCATGCAGAGTTGCCACCTGTATCAATTTTTTTAATTAAAAAAATCTATGAAATCATTGAAATATTACAAAAGGTGCATTTGGTTTATATTGTGAATAAACTATAAAAATATAAAGATTTGCAATATCGTTTGAAATTATTGAAGTATTGCACAAGTAGCATCACCGTGAAAATCATCTAAGTAAATTAATGTTTAAATTGCTAAAAATTGGAAATTGAGAATAAATTTATTAAAATCCGGCTATTAAATTAAAAATTTTGAAGAAAAAATTGTCAAAATAATTCTGCATAGAGTTGCCACCCAATAAATTTCTTTACTTGGAAAATTTGATGAGATGAGATACATATTAAAAAATTGTTACTTTTTATTTTTTTTAATTTTTTTCGTAACTTTTATTCTTTATATTTTTTTTAATTATTAAAAACTAATTTTTATGCATTTTTATTTTATCAAAAAAATTTATTATGAAATTTTTTTCAAATAACTCCAAACTTCATACAAAAAAAATTAATTCATTATATATAGTATACATATATTACATTACATATACATATGTATATTCCATTTGTATGTATTTTCTCATTATTACCAAATTCTCTCAATCAACACAACCGCTTAACATTCCACAGCGATGACCCTACCGCCGAGGAGCTATCAAAGTGGAATTCATTTGTCGAATCAATTAAATCGAAACTAACCGTAAAACAAGTGGTTGATGGTGTACGTTCGGGTGGATCATTGTCATTCGATTATCTGCTCTTGATTGTGACCGCTGAGTGAGTATATGCACAGACAATAGAAGAGAATCAATAGAGAGTAATAGAAAAAAAGAGTGTTAGGAGTGGACGAAAGGAAGGAAGATATTAACAAATAAAAAAAAAAAAAAAATAAACAGAAAATAAATTTAAACGAAACTGAAAAGATTCAAATTTTGCAACTGGCATATTGCTTAGTGCTTGAAGCAGCAAAATTGAGAGGAAAAATATAAACAAAAATAATAATAATAAAAAAATAAAAAATTATAAATAAAAAAATGGCAAATGGGAAGTCATAACAAAGCAATCATGCTTAGTGGAAATACAATATTTGCAGCCGTTATATATATATTATACATATATACCTACACGCAAAAATTTTGCTGCTACAATATTTATTTGATAAAAATTTAATTCAATTTTTTAATTGTTGGCCATTTTTTATTACATTTCGAATAGTAAGTAAAAAATACAATAATAATTTCTTTTTCTTTTTATTGGCATTTTGCCGTCAATCGCTCTTATTTTTTTACTTTCAAAGCTCTTTAGCTGCTTTGGGTTTAATTGAGAATAGTGCTACAAATATTGTCGCTGCTATGTTGGTTTCCCCACTCATGGGACCGGTGATGGCAATTACTTTCGGCACCATTATATCGGATAGACAATTAGTGGTGAGTTGAGCTGATAAATTATAGAATTCTTTCTTATTGTATTCTAATTGTTCTAATTAATGAGGATATATTCAAAATGACATAAATTTTATATCATTTTTTAAAACACATTAAAATGATAAATAAAATTTGCCAAATTGGAAAAAAAAACAAGCAAATTATGAACCAAATTCTCTATAGTTAATAAATTTATTTCCCCACATATAAAATATTAAATTTTTTTTTAAATTTTATTTTACGCCATTCGTTTTATATTCACAATTTTTTGCTTTGTATTCTGTATTTCTTACTTAACAATATTTTTTTATTATTATTTTTTTAATTAAATTTTTTTTTTATTTATATATCAACTAATTTTTGTAATTTATTTTTTTTAATAATTAAAAATTAAATTTTATCTTCTTTCATAATTTATAATCAATTTTACTTCTTTTTAATTTAAATTCCTAATACATATTTAATATTTTATTTTTATTTATTTTATGTTTTTATATTGTATTTCAGCCTTTTTTATATTTTAAATTAAATTTTATTTTTTTTCTTCTATTTCATAAATTATTTTAAATACATATAAATCCCTATAACTTTAAATACTTTATTTTAAATTTAAATATTATATTTGGTGTTTTTGATGTTGATTAAATTTTTTCGGTATTCATTTTTAAAGTTACATCATTTTTTTATTTTAATTAATATTTTATATTTTAAATTAAATTTTGTACTTGTTCTATACAACCTCTTACACTTTATGTCAAATTTCTAATAATAATATAATATAATAATTTTATATATTTTACATTTTTTATTTAAATTATTATGTTTTATGTTTAATATTTATATATTTGTACTTTTAAGTTAATTTAATTTTATATATTTACACCTTATAACTCTAATTTAATTCTTTAATTATATTTATTTAGTTTGGATAGATAGAAAACAGTTTGCATCTCTGACAATAAACAAAAAAAATTGTGAAATATTTGCTATTAAAATATATATTTTCTAAAATTTGTAATGGATACATTTGACGGTAGACAATTTCTTTTACGTGATATATTTCCAAAATAGTTTGTTAGTAAAAGAACTGAAGTAGTAATAAAATTTTCCTGTGAATTCAAAAGGTTGCTCATACGCCATGGATTTTGTCAGAAATGCCTTCAAGGTGTTACTTTTAAGCCAAATGAATGAAAAGAAGTCTCACCTACAAACTTAGATAATTTTAAGTAAATAAAATTAATTTTTAATCTTCTGTATTCATATTGAAGTCAAATTAAATTCCTCATTAAAAGCTCTTCTAACCTTTAGGTTGATTTTCAATATTTTGAATAAATATTTTGTACACATTTTTTCAATAAATTTATTCTTGAAGTTTTGATCAAAAAAAAAAAAATTTTAGAAATTTATTCCAAAATTAATGAACAATATTTCAAAGTTTTTAATTCATTATTAAAAATTTATGTTTCGCTGCGATGTATGTAATTTTGATTAAAACGTATTTGTAATATGTTTATATTGTAAAAGTGACTTCAAAAACTCGTCATTAGCTCATAATTTTCAATTACCCTCTGCTTAGTAATTTTGTAGTTTAATTTCACACTTCGTTAATAATTTATAAAGGGCAAACATTTTTTAAAAATGGTAACTACAGAAATATGAACTACGAATAAGTAAAAATTACAAATATTGTACAAATATAAAAACTATTGAAACCATTTCCGTTTTTGCTGCAAACATCGCTATTTATACATGCATTAAATAAAAATTGCGTTTTTCGCACCAAGCAAAGCGCATAAATATATAAATATTTAATATGACAGTTACAAGTGAGGCCACTACGGTTTCATACACACACATAGGCATATATGCACATATCACTGTACCAGTAAACATTGAGTGGAAGTGTAATGCATAAAAAATAAAGATAAGAAAATAAAAAGAGGGAAATATGCATGAATTCATAATTCAAAAATAATAAAATAAAAATTGATGTGTAAATAAAAATTTACATAAAAATTTGTATGCCATTAAATTGATGAAAACAAACAGAATTTCGTCATGGATACAGTGCACTGACTGTTGGGCGTTGTGACATATTGCCAGCGTATAATTTTAAAAAACATAAAAAAAATATATATATAAATATATGATACCAAGTAAAGTAAATAGAAATTATAGAAAAATATGTTTGTTTAATAAATTCAAAGTTTTCGAGAAGCATTTGCAAATATATATACGTATGTTAGTAAATATATAAATTAAATATGTGCAGCAGGTATTTCGCTTATGCAGCAAGACTTTAATTGTTGCTCATACGCCATGCGTTGTCGCCAAAGAATTGGTTAGTGAATTATTAATTAAAAATAAAGAAAAATTTGAATTTTTTGCGCACATAAATAAAAATAAATTTAAATAATCAATATCTCATGAATTTTGTATTTATATTCATTTATAATTCTATTTCACTATTAATCTGCAGTGTTTACTGAACTTATATTTTATGCATAAATTATTTCAATCTGTTTATAACTAAAAATCATGCATATGAATGTCCTTTATGTAAGTTGTTTTTCCTCTTTGCTCTGCTATTTTTGTTTATTTCTTTAATAAAAATTTTTTTATTTACTTTTTATTGACTGCATGCCGTCAATGGTGCACACCTCAGCTTTCATATAAATGAAATGAAAAAAATTTTCTTTGAAAAATTAAAACGGAAAGTACAGGCGAAACTGCATTACATGCAGAATGTGTGAGCACAAATTAAGTCTAATATTAAATACGTCAACGCAAGCCTGACACCTCTCATGTGAAAAATACAAATATAGTACATATTGAAATGATTCAAGAATAGTAAACTCTATTTAAAAAATACAACCTTTGCTAGGGTGGTACATGTTTTCAAAGCTTTGTGTTGGAATGCGTATAACATTTTTCCTTTAATTTTCTTTTTAATTTTAATATGAGTTTAATTTGTTTTCTATTTCATTTAAATTCAATATAATATAATAAACTTTTATTTTATTAAACTTTCTTTTTTATTTTATTTATTTTATTTTATTTTATGTTATTTTATTTTATTTTATTTTATTTTATTTTATTTTATTTTATTTTATTTTATTTTATTTTATTTTATTTTATTTTATTTTATTTTATTTTATTTTATTTTATTTTATTTTATTTTATTTTATTTTAACTTCACCTCAGGTGAGAGGGGTTACCTTAGTATGAGCTTAAGCATATATTATTCGATTACGCACACATCTGACGTGCTTAGAATTGCATTGAATATGAAACTTGCTAAAATTGAAAGAAAGCAAAGTCGGTAACTTTGCTGCTGCTGCTGCTGCTGCTGCTTAGGTGTTATATAATCATGTACACAGTGGAGTCAAGCCAAAGTGTGAATAACAGTAAAGCCTTTCATTAAATTTACACAACAATTTCCGCTGCCTATAAGCCATAGGCAGTTACTTTCTTCACTTTACAAACAATTTTCGCACACGCTACAACTCCAACTGCCTACCTATGCTTTCATATATGTTTATATATGTATTTACGATATATATGTATCATCAGTCAGTGCTAAAGTTTTAACAAGTACGTTGCAAATGAAGTTATATACGAAATCCGAGAGTGGGCGTTGCAAGTCGGTTTACGCCCAGACGTTAAGTACAAGTGAAACACTTCATCAACCACGCGGCGAGTAACTGGAGTAAACTAAGAGATTATATATGAATAGTGAAGTAAAAAGATGCATTATATGACGAAGTGGAAGAAGGAGAATAAAAAATTCTATAGAAAGGCGTAATAGTTAAAGCAAATGCTATAAAGCAGGAAGGAAATGTAAAAATACCGCAAAGCGAAAGCGTATGAATGGCATCAAATGTAAGATTGTATGAAAAAATATAGAAAACTTGTGTACCGTTACATTGGTTTAATTTGAAGTGCGACGAGTGTTAAACAGCATGAGATACTCCAATTAAAAATCTGTGCTTTAGTCTGCTCCAGCGGTGTTGTTTGCACCACTACATACACCTTTCTCGCCTTCTACACACTAATTTACTTGAACTTTTGACCGCGTGAAACTACAAATGCAATGCAATATACGATACTTTGTTTACTTTCTACAAATGTTTTACGCTGTTGATTTAAATTAAATTAAAGTGAAATTTAAATTTTTGGATTTATGATTTTAGCGCAATTCAAACACTTAGACATTTCATGCTTTTTTTATACTATTTTATTAAATATTTTAACAAAAAATCTTAATTGTGCATTGAGCCAGACCCGAATTGTTGCCCATCTAAAAGTTTGTTAACTTTATACTTTTATGCTATATTTATGCAATACTCCTATATATTGTTGGTTAATATTGAGAATTGAAATGAATTGAAATTTTCTGATAAATAATAGTGGTTGAAGTAAGGGCCTTGTTTTCGAGTCTTGTTAAATATTTACAATTTTTTTTCTCGACAGCGACATCTGCTCTGTTTTCAAGCAGAAAACGGCTGATTTACAAATTTACTTATTTTCTTTTGCCAAAATAAATAAAAATAATGGAAAACAAACTGGTATTTTAGATTCATGAGCTTTAGAAAATTTTTGAAGCAGCCTTTTTGCACTATATTGCTAAGAATTTCCATTGTTTACGTTTAAAACAACTGATTTAAGTTTTCCTTTCCTCTACTTCTCAGCACTTTCACCTTCTATCTAATATATCGTAAACATTTAACAGAAGGTCGACAAAATGAAGGCGAATTTATCATATCATTCAATCTAACTGCCGGTTTCGTGATCCTCACATTAACAGGCACTCGAAGAGGTGTTTGTATTTGCTACTTTTTATATTCGTGCTCCTAATTGTAGGCAACATTTTACTACTTATTTGCAAGTAACGCTCAGATCTTGGGCTGGGGATTTTGCAGATGTTTTGCATTAAGAAAATAATGTTATAGGAAAATTTATCGGCTTTGAAAACTTAAATTTAGCGAAAGAGTATCATACAG